CAGCAACGGGAGGGAGGGAAGGTAACAGGATGTTTTGCTTCATATTCATATGTGAAGGTAAAGCAACGCCTCTCCTACTTATGTGAACCGGAAGCTAGTGCTCTTGTGCCCAACGGCCAAGAAAGCGGCTTCCAAGGATCACTTCCCAGGAGCCGGGGAGACTCTGCAGGGCAGAGCAGGCAGCAGGCAAGGGAGCAGGCGCAGGGGGGGGGGAGCTCTACCTGCGTCTCTCAACTCTAGTCCGTGCTATTTCTGCCAGGCCCTTCATCAGAGAAGAAGGAAAGTCTCAGGCAAGCGTCTTTCAGAGCTGGAAAGACAAAACGCCCGCAGCATAACACATTGGGGAAGAAATGTGTTCGTTTAGGAGCTTGGCTCTCCTTAGCCCCGTCAAATATCTTCATGGCTGCATCATTTCAAAGGAAAATTAAAAAGTACTTCATGCCCCAGTTATAGCAGATGAAGAAGTCAAACTCTAACTCCAGCAGCAGAGGCTGTGGAAGGTCATAGTTGGCCTAGGTTACCACCAAGATGTCTAGAAAGAGAAGGACCAAAGATACAGATGGCATAGATTCACGGGAGGGCCTCAAACCAGAAAGGTACGAATGGGGCTGACGCAGCTTAAGAGCTGGTGTGTGTGTGCGTGCGTGTGTGTGTGTGTGTGCGCGTGTGTGTGTGCGTGTGTGTGTGTTCTCCCCACACTGTAACTTCCTAGCAAACAGAAATGGCACCATCCATTTCGTGGAGCGGTAGACTTGCTCATGACTGAATATGTGAATGGAAGACGAAAGATGGCCAGGTGAGCCAATGAGTATGCATTCACAGCGGAGGTCACTTGTTCATCTGCCTCAAGAATCATCTCCAGATGAACCGGTCCTCAGTGAGGAGAGTCTGGAACTTCCTGCGGCATGGTTAGAAGCCCATGCCCGGTCCACAGACACATGCTCAGCGCTGGGCTGCATGGTGCATCGCACAACAGACTCCCAGTGGGGCTGTGGTTCCAGCGTACGTGTGCCCGCCTTGAGTGAAAAAACCCGAGGGGAGCAGAGGTGCTGAGTTCAAGCCTCGGTACAGGCACAGAACATGACAAATAACTTCTCCTGCCTTATATCTTATTGATGCTGACTTTAGAACCACGCTGCATAAAGTCAGATCGACCTCTGTGAAACCTTTGTGATGAATATTTAATAAGATGGAAGGCTGGCAAAGTCCAAGTGTCTGGACAAGCCCTTGAATGCCTTGCTCAGGGTTCTGCATCTGCACAGGCTTTGAACTACCTCTTGATCCATTTCTTAAAGAATGAGAGAGGGGCAAGGGCTTGAAGTCACCCCCAGGGCTGCATGTCGATGTACCACGCTCCATGCAGCATGTGAAACGTGTTTTCCCCGTGACATCATCATTGCAATCATGTCTTGAAAACAAGAGTCCTGTTTCACAGCAATTGAAAATAAAGTGGTTATATTTCTTAAGAAAAAAAAAGAACAGAGTAAAATGGCAGACATCAAGACACACTTTTGTCCTGATGACTCTGAAGGGAATTTCCAGGACACTGACAAACGTCTGTGAGACTCCATAGCTCTGAGCAGATGGTAGAAAAGGACACAAATGACCTCTCATCGATTCTGATCTTGTAAGGCCTTGGCGAAGATGCACAGCAGCTTGACAGGGAGAAAAGCTGAACACCACAGAAACGCACTTGTCAACCCCAGAAGGGGTTCTGAGAAGTTGCACAGAACAGCTTCCGTCTCTGAACCCAAAACAGCCATCACTTCCCCAGTGCAAATCTTGTGGGTGCACGATGTACTTCCCCCATCTCCAGCAGCATCAGCTAAAACTGCTCGAAACCACGCAAGAGAAACATCCGTGTTCACAGCCCAGGCCACTGTTTGAAGGCTGTGCCATCTCTACCCCTTGGCCTACCAGGCTCAAAGTGCTCACGCTCCTGTCTAAGCTCCATGGTACTTATAGTACTTTTGCCAAGCTCTGCTCTAGAACAAACATTGGCAACCCGGTCACCAGTCTCTCACTGAGGGTCACTTCCGAGCTGCTGCCCTGACCTTTGGCATTCCCAGGGTCACATAGGCCTGTGCACTGTGATGTCAGTAGCTGCAGGGGTCAACACTGCCCCTCCGGGATGGCCACCAGCTGCCTGGGCACATGGCACAGTCCAGTGGCACAGCCAACAGGAAGACCATGCCCCCTCCCCAGCCTCTACACAGCGTGCCAGCAGTGCTGTGGTTCAGGGTGCTGGGCTACGCTAAAACTTATCGGGAATTCCATTCTAGTCTAGTCAGGAAGGAAGGAAGCCATCTAAACTAAGCACAGAGAACATAAAGACGTAGTGATGTGAATCGCAAAGAGAGACAGTCAAAGGTCCACGGCTCCAGAGACCAGAGCTCAAGCAGTGTCCATCCATTCAGCTGGTATTTACTGAGCACGACTGGGCACTAGCATCGCCACTTCTGGGCTGTGGTTACTGATCCAGATCTGCACAGCTGCAGGGACTGTAGGGCTGTCCCCATGGCTGATAGGTGCTTGCAGAACAGCAGCGTGCCATTTAGTTTGAGAACACGCAATGGAGAGCCTGAAGACCGGAACTAAGCATTATGAGAGTCAGGGATACAGCCCGCTCATGCCTGCGGGCTTCCTGATTCTCACCAGTGAGCAAAGATCGTTTCTGCACAAAGACTTCATTTATCCAGACATGATGCCAACACAGTTCATAGTTGCTCACTTAGATGATCTCAGCCACTACACAGTGTCTGGTAGTCCCCAAACTTAGTCTGGAAATGGTGACCAGCATTCTCACTAATCAACTACACGCAGGATAACTGAAAGGTGACAACTATGGTTAGGACCCCTGCCCTGGAGACCACAAGCACAACTTTTCCTGCTGTAATCGCTTGTCTTCCCATACGTGCGTGCACACACGTACCCATGCATGTGCATGTGTGTGTGTGTGTGGTTTGATTATTAAGAACAAGCAGTAAGAAATGAGTACCAGACCTCCTTGCAGATGGATGAGCTTGGCCCTGTTTTCTTAGTTGGGGGAAGATGGCAAACGGCTCGAGCACTGCCCTAAAACCTCTTCTGCTCCATGAATAAAACATGAGTGTCTCTAAATTTAAACTTAAAACCAAATTAATTCATCAAAATGTCAGTTGTCACCTACAGCATTTTAGGAGCAGGGAAAATACCTTGGAACACAGAAGAATCCTCACAGGACCAGAGGGGGTGGCATTGAAGGGTTTTATCCACATGCTCACAGTTGTCATCCTGTTTTTTTGCAGCTATTTATCCCTACAGAGAGGCCCTGGAGCAGAGGGAGCTTAAAAATCTTGCTGATCGCACAGCAGCTCATTTGCCACGCACACCTTTCCCTGGTCTTAATGATAAAGTATGCTCTAAACATGGTCCTGGAGGCCTGGTGACCCTCCAGCAGCCGGAATTACAAACCTTGGTAGTTCCCTTCCCACAGAGCTGGGCACAAACAGAATTACAAAGACAAGCCTTCTGACAGCATCTGGGACTCACAGATGACACCACATACAAAGCCTGTGAGTTTGGTTTTTTTTTTTTAAATCATATTCCTAAGTTATAAAGAAAGCAGAGAATGGAAAGAGACTGAGACTTTCTTTGTTCTCACTGAAATTCAAACTCCAGATATCAAAATGGAGTGGTACCCTGGCCATACCCAGGAGAAAACTGGTTTCCTGAGAGTTTCTATTCTTTTCCATCTTACACTCAGCAACACTATTCAACTCCCAAAGAGAATATGGTCCCTTGTTCTGTTTTCAGAAGTAATCTGAAAGGATTGTTCTGAGTTAAACGCAAGCACCACAGTCCGGGAAAGACAGCTCACGGCAGGAAAAGTGAACATCCACACCGTGATTCTTTTTCTAGCAAACAAAGAATACCAAGTTGGCCGCTGTCCTGCTGACCTCTAACCCACCACTGCTGACCTTAGGTCCTGCTCCTGAAGGTTTAGGAAATCACTTAAAGGCAGGCTGCAGACTTTCAGGGATCAATGTGACTATGGTACGAAAGCCCAATCTTTGTGCCTGGAGTCCCGTAAGTGATGTTGCCTTGAAAGCAAGAAAAACCCCAAAGGCACTCAGCTGTAAGTCCAGTCTTTCCTAACAAATGAATGAACCTGGGGCCTGACCCACCTCCTACATGGACAGAGGCTGCAACCCACAGGGCCTTCCTCCGCATCCAGCTACAGCCAGGAGCCCCTCCATCACTAAACCTCTGCTTTGTGGTGGCCAGCCCTGCCTTCCAAAGGCAGCAGGAGAAATCTCCACTAAGTCATCCCAGGTGATATCTGTGTGACTAACTCCACAGCCCACCAGCTGAGACCCCTGCAAGCACCTACCAGTCTGGGCCGCACTCCGGGGTACCTGTGCCAGTTTCTAGAACCATTCCTAGGGAAGCACAAAGCCGGGGAGGCAAAGCGAGGGCGGATGCCAGGAGCTGTGGCCCCCCACGCCTGGGAAACGGCCATACCCTAAGCCTGCGTCCTCCTCCATCCTCTCAGGGTGTGAGCCATACCACACGTCCAGACCCCAGACAGCCCCACAGCGCTCACCGCTGGAGTGCTGGGGAGGAGGTGGAGGGCTAGCCGGGTGGGAGACGCTGCTGTGGGCCCCCAGCCGCGAGGGGTTCGCAGGAGGCTGGACCGGCGCTGAACCCAGGGGGTCAGGGCAGGGAGAGGCCCCGTCAGTGTGCCCGTGTGCGCCTGTGTGTGCCCGTGCGTGTTTGCACATGCGCGCGAGTGTGTGCATGTGCCCTGAGTGCACGTGTGAGTGCCCGTGTGTGTGCACATGCGTGCGAGCAGGCATTTGCACGTGTGTGCACGCGCGCGTGTTGTGCCCGTGTGTGAGCATGTGTCCACGTGTGCACGCGCATGTTCGCACTGCGCGCGCGTGCCCTGTGTGAGTGCGTGTGTCCACGTGTGTGCTCCTGTGTGTGCGCGCGTGAGCGCGGGGCGGGCGCGGCCTTACGTGTGCAGCGGGCTGCCCAGGGCTGGTAGCCGTAGTAGCCGGTGATGCGCAGGATGCGCTCCTCGATGGACGAGAGCCCCGCGGGCGCGCTCAGGTCCTCCACGGAGCGCGACCAGCGCAGGTCTTCCTTGATAGCCTCGTCCACGGCCAGGTACTTGAGCTGGCGCAGCTGGGGGCTGATGTCCGACAGCCTCCGCGGGCTGACGTCCGGGGACCTCCGCATGCCGCTGCGGGACGGGGCCGCGGTGAGGCGCGGACCGGGCAGGGGCACGGGAGGACGCCGCCAATCCCCGGGGCC